TGTATATTGATGTAAATGCTTAGGGTTGTCTGCCATTCTTTTATATTTTAAATCAATTCCACAATTTGAACTAAGGCAGCAAACAAAAGTAGATGGCAGTCTAGTTCTATCAATCACTTACAGTAGTGCTAGTGGATATCTTGGACAAAGGCTTCTTGATTGATTGAAGTTCATGTTCATCTTTTGCCATATCACAGAGTGAGTGAAACTCGCATCCTTCCAGGCTTTCTTTTGGGTCTGAGTATTTATTGAGATGGGAGCCAGTATATTTGCACTAGATGATGTTTGGTCACATTTAGGACAACATCTAAGGAGCAAGAAGAAGGAGAGTGGCTGGGATCGTGCTCTTCGAGTAGCAGTTTCTGAGTCTGAATTATCTTGGTTGAAAAGGGCAGAACTGGACTTCCAGCACTAAGAAGCATCTGGATGCGAGAGTCTAGGCTTTCAGGCTTTGATTCCGGAGCAGGAGATTCAGGAGAAGGACACTGCACTATTGGGTCTGAAAGATCCTCTGTGGTTTCAGAGGAAGGACACAGTTTTGGGGTATATGAGCGAGAAGATTGGGCTTGTGGTGGACAATAAGTTTGGTTCACCTCTTGAGTTTTGCAAGATACTTGGGAAGCAATTCCATTGAAAATATTTTCAGAAGCATTTACATTTATCTGCATATCAGAATGAATGTGATGAACATTCACTCCAATAGCCTTTCGCTGCAATTTTTCTAAATTTGGAAGTGATGGTGGATCTTCAGCAACAGATCTGTGATTAACACTGAGGCCCTTGACTGAGCCAGTAAAGGTTTGGACTGTGAGCTTATCTGAATGTGATGGTGTGGTTGAACTTTCCTGAAATTTATTAAAAGACGCTTGATTGGCTAAAGGTACAGAGCGGTGGTGACCTCCTCTGTATACAGGTCTATGTATATAGTTATGTTGTGGCCTACGGTTGTATGCATTTTGGTACTTGCTCTCGAGAGGTCTGACCCTGTGTCCTCCACGAACGTGGTTACTAAGGTGATAGTTGCGTCCAGGAGTTCTTTGCCTATTCGAGGAGCTACTGTTTTGCGACGGAGCTCCACCTAGCATCCAAAAGTTTTGCACAGCACCTTGAATAATGCTAGGTTTATTTGAGACTGGTTGAGTCAAATGAACAGGCTGTTGCTGTGAAATGTTTGGGATGGATTGTTGAATAAAAGGGACATTGAAAGCACTGGATGTCAGCGCAGACTCATTTGGGGTCCTTTCAAACTGAGATGGTGTGCCTGGTCTACTGTGGGTCATAGAAGGCGTGCAAGGGGTATCTTGGTATTGGGGGGTCTGCCAGAAACTATTAGGTGTGTCCTGATGCATGCTGGAGTAGGCAGTATCCATGGATAAAGGTGTAGAACAATCCAGTGATGGAGAACCATTACATATTGAGGATAATGATGATAGTGTGAACGGCAGCTTCTTCAGAGGTTCACACTCCTGAAAAATTTAAAGAGATTTACAAGTGAACTAAAACAATTTCAGAAAAGTTTCAATATAAAAACCTGAATTTGCAATGGTAAATGCACTTTCTGTATACTTTGTGAGAATGTCTTCTCTAACCATTGTATGTCTCTTCTGATGCAACAGAAAAGTTTTAAACCATAAATGTTATATAATAACAAAAAGTCATACCTCCACACAGCTATAGTAAATGTACTTAAGCCAGAGGGATTCAGTTCCAAGATATCAGGTCTCTAGATATATATATATATATATATATATAATGTATATATGTTGTGTATATATATATATATATATATATATATATACACACCCAGGCCAGTGGCAATTCATTTTACAGTATTTGCACATGTGTGTAATTGCAGTGTAAGTACTAAGAAATGTACTAATATAAAGTGCTACCAAATTTCCACCTGGGCAAGCAGTAGTACTTTGTAAAAGAAATATATATATATATATATATATATACTGTATATATATATATATATATATATATATATATACGTATATATATATATATAGATTTTTTTTTTTTTTTTTCAGTTGAGACAAATTGGATATGAATTATCAAAGACAAGATCAGGTGTTGTATTAGTATTAGGCTATTATTATTTTACATTTAGATACCTATGTATGGCAGACCATATGACAGGAAAGGTACTTTGTGTGGTTTTTCTCTTGAAGTCTGGACCATTTTTATATTAAGCTTAAAATAAGTATATACTAAAAAAACAATGTACATAATAATGCTCAAAATGCTCTCATTATGAGCAGAAAACAGAATGTTATCTAGTAATTCCAAAGTTTTATTTGTCTTTCCTTGCCATCTACAAATAATTTTCCCAATTCAAACATAGTTTATTATAAAATGGTCTTAGCATGCTAATTAATAGGCCTAATGCTAAATGTGGATTAAAAAAACATCTTGTCACAAACCTGGTTTAAACGGTCGGAGCCATATACTGTATGACAGATAAAAATAACTATATTTACTGCATTCTCAATTTCTAAAGCATTTTAGCGAAAGTATCAAAGAAAACTTATTGATAAAATAACCCAGAGAGAGAAGTAATGCACATGGAACGGAAAAGGCTTGAATGAAACACGTTTGGCTTTAGATACAAATATCAGACAAGTGTTTGTCTCCGTTGTTTTGGTGCGCTGCCTAGAGTTTTTTTCTCATGGTCTGATTAGAACCAAGCCGGGGTTCGGAACCGGACAGAGGTCTGCTATTTGAGGAATCCTGATTTAAGCAAACTATTCTACATCCCTTAAAGATATATATTTTTCCCCCTATTTCAGCAAATGTGAAAAGAGATTAAAACATTTTAAGGGTGCTGAAAGATGAGATATTCTATCACAGATTAATAGGGCCTGAGAAAGGGGGTGAAAAGTAAAGAAATGCCTATGGTCTTGTACTCACAGTGAAAGAGTCAGTGATGAAAGATGGTGACTGGAGTCCCCAGGCCTCTTCTCCAACAGGGAGAGTAAAAGGTGTGTATAAACCACTAACAAGCATCTGGACATATCGGTTCCTCTTCACACCTAAAACCAGTCAGTCAATAAAGATCATGAATTATATAAAGCATGCAAATACAGTAAATGTGTCTGCATAGACATGTTTATGAAAACCTTTATTTGCAACTGATAAGATAGTAATAAAAAATTGAGAAGAGATAGAAAAAAATGTATTTACCTTTTGGGTCAAACTCCAAATGAATGTTGTTTCCCATCACAGAAGTGTTGTGGAGGTTTTTTACTGCATTATTTGCTGCCTTTACAGATTCAAAAATGACCTTTGCTATTCCTAAATGCTTCTTATTTTTCGGATTATATAAAACTTTCAAGTCTTGAACCTCTCCAAACTGTTTACACATTTCAGAAAGGAATTCATCTCTAATGTTGTCATTAAGCCTTGTAAATGTCAACTCCTTCGGCGCTCCAACATAATGCTCATCAACCTAAAAAAAAGATTTATTGACATAATATGGCATTATTTTGTAAATCCTTGGCAATGTAAAACAAACATAAGATACACTTCTGATCATTGTTTATTTATATGAATTGTATTATAACTTTATATAAAGTGTTTTGCTCAGGTCAAATTCATCCCAAATATAATGTTAAAAAACTGTATTACAATTCTACTTTGTGATTTATAGTTCAATAATAATATCTGCCTATAGGGATTTGTATTATTAGGTCAGAACAACTAGATAGATTTAAATAGATTAAATAGATTAAAATAGGTTAAGTAGGAAAATAACAGGTTAGTTAAGCAATTATAAATAAAACAGTAGCCTAATACATAGAACATTTTATATATAAAAAATATGAAGAATGTCAGTAGGCTATAAATAGGAAATAGGGTTAAATGTTTATCATTTTAAAAACGTTGTTTTTACAGAATAGACAAAACATTACACAATGCATTAATTTGATGTTGTATCTAATACTGACCTTAAATTTGGGGACCAGGAGATTTGTTTCTTTAAATTTTGTCCAAAAACGAGTAGTTCTGGGATCTCGAACAACATCCACATGGAAACATCCAGGATGCTGACAGACAACAATTTAGTAAGCCTCAATTGTACAATGAATAATACAACTCTGTAAATATGATTTAAAAAATTGCATAGGTCACTAAGTTTGATAACTAATATGCCATTATGTTAACGTTATTAGTAGGCTATTGTTGTTCGCCTTAAAATCATACCTACCGGTGCGCTGAAGTGTTGTCCATCATATCGGTACACTTTCTGACTTCCGCTGCTCAAATCCGGATCAATAATCAGTTTGTAACAACTCCAGTTTGGAGTTGCACCTTCCAGAGGATCAAAACTACCGGTTTTTAATAATGTATCTAAATTGGAGAATCACAGCACACGATGAAAAGGACTGTTTCTACACAACGGAAGCTGAGTCATGAATAAGTAATTAACGTTAGGCCTACATTAACACATATTTTTATACACCTTCGTTTCTTACCGTTATCTTTCCGTTGACCCTCCTTTTCGACGCTTTCGAACATGATTCGCAGTCATTGTACAATATTAGTAAATTTCTCTTTATAGAACGTTGATTAAAAACGATAGTTCCTGTAAATATCAGATGGCTGTTGTCAGGAGTGCAGTAGGTCTTATGTCTCCCAAGAGAAGCATCACATCACTGCTGCACAACAGGTGGGAGGAACCTGCCGCCACACCCGCACTGTCATCAGGACATGATAAAAAAAAAATATTGAAATAAAATATGAACAACACAAAATAAACACACACATTCTAACGATCTAAATATTAGATACAAATATTGTAATAATTATTTAGCTTTATTAAGCCTAAAATTACCATTAGCCTATTATAATATAACCATTCATTATTTTGAAATACAGATTGTTTTGCTCTTTAGTTTGCACTAAGTAAAAATATAGTTTATTGGCATGTTTGTTGGACAGTGGACACGCTGGATTGTTCATATATCAGGTTCTCAAACATTTCCTGGTGGATAACCCATGTGATACTGAGCTGATGAGTTGAATCAGATGTGTTTAATAGGGAGACAAAAAAAAAACGTGCAGTGTTGGGGGTCCTCCAGGGCGGGCTTGAGACCCACTGATTTAGGCCTATATAATAATAATAAGAATATTAATAAACCTTTATATTTGTACGTGGACAGTTAGAACAACTTCTACTTTCTCAGGAGGATGTCATGTGTGAAATTGATTTTGTTAATGTGATTTGCATGCTGGGATTGCTGGGAACATATGGTAACAGATTACCATATGTTACTACATTTGATCTACCAGTAAGGATAAAATCTCCTGGGATGGGGAAATGTGGGTACTTTCCAGCAAAGTCACAGAATGGCTAATACACTCTCCAAAAAGGTGTTGTTGGAGGATGTAATGAATTGCCATTAAAATGCTTTGATTGGTTGATTATAAAACAATGCATTGCATGACCATTTCCGTTTGGACCACATTTAGAATAACATAATTGTTACATAATTTGTTGGCTTCATTATGACTATGCCTATACGAAAACAGAATTGTAACTTGATTCTTAGCCATAATAATGACAGATATAGGGCCAATGGGCTATATGCACAGCTGCACTACTTCCTGAACTTCAACCAGCTCCTTGTTTCCTGTCTGCCATTATTGGCCACATTGATTAATTCAGGTGTGTCTGACCTCAGTAGTTACGGCAACAATAATCAGACACACCTGAATTAATCAAGTTTGGCCAATAATGGCAGGCAGGAAACAAGGAGCTGACTGAAGTTCAGGAAGTAGTGCAGCTGTGCATATAGCCCATTTGGCATAGTCCAAAACTGACCATGGCTGGACCTTGTGATCATGTTAATTTTTTTGCAACAAACTCTGTCATTGTCTGTGCGCAATTTTTATTTCATTTGGCTGTGCTGGCTGGTGTGTGCAGATTTGACTACTATCTGACTGAAAGCAAACTAAAACACACACACACACACACACACACACACAAAACTAAGGGGCTGTTTACACAACACTGTTTTCAACTAAAACTGGAAAACTTTGTATGCATTTTGCATTTTGGGGGCCTGCATTTGCAAACTTTTTAAAATGGGTTTCAAAGTGCAGGTTTTTGAAAACGATACCATTATTGTCTTGGTGCAAACAAGTAAACAAATATTACGCCTTGTGTTCACTCACGTAGTTTTTCTTAACAAAGTGACATCGCCAACTACTGGCCAAGCATGAATAATACTAATTTTTTTCATTTTTTTTTTTGTGTATGGATACCACAAAATTTATCCCTGTTCACACTGATTCTATTAACCCAAGATCAGGAGCCGTATGCAAGATTGTGGCCAAAACTGGTTCTCACTTTCAAATTACTGTAGAGCGGTGAAATCTCTTGATCTGGGTCCAAATCTCAATTAATTCCAGATTTTCACAAGAACTCTGGGGCTGTTTACACCTAGCTACTTCATGCGTTTTCTGTGATCGGATAGCTATCCGATCATGAAAAGACCAGGTGTAAATGCCATTCGAAACGCATTCGAGACCGATTTGAATCCGATCGCTGAAACAACACCAGGAGGTGGTCTGGGCCGCATTCCAGACAAAACTGGACTAATGTGTAATGTATCTGTGGTTGTTGAAACCGCATATGTATGGTTTAGATAGGATACCACAGACCTGCATGCGCAGTAAACCCAGCTGGAGAACTGCGGCGGCTGAGGCCATGTAACCCAGCGCTCAGTTACCCCTTTTCCACCAAAAAAGAACTGTCACAGTGTCTGGATGTGTTCCCTTGTTTGTCCACTAGATGTCCTCCTTCCCCACTGTTTCATTCACTATCTGGAACTGCATTTCCCATCACCCTGTTCTGTTACTTACTGATCATTGCACTCAGCTGTTCCCCGTAATCATTGTTCCCAGCTGTTCTGTGTTAGTCTTGTTAGATGTGTATATATTCCCTGTCTGTGTAATGCTACGTTCACACCGGACGCGAATAGTGCGTCAGGCGCGAATGATTTCAATGTTAAGTCAATGCAAAGACGCTTTACGCGCGTGAAAAATTCCTGCGGCGCGAATGAGGCGTGGAGCGAGGTGCGGAAGGTGTTATTCATTCCATAGCTAGATTATATGAAATAGTATTATGTTGTAAAGACAATCAACATATGTGCATAAATTCGTGTCTGGACGTGAGAGAGAGAAAAAAAATCACAGGACAGGTTAATAACTTTTGAAGGCTGGCTCTATTTATCATCAAAACAAAAAATAAATGACAGCTAGATTAGATGGATGAGGGCGAGGGTGATCCTCGCTCCGATGCGGGACAACATGTCATCAAACTGGGCGCGGGACAGGCGGAAGTACCGCTGACAGCGGCCGTCATCCAGCGCAGCTCCTGGAGCGAGCAAATGGTGAAACTCGCCAAACGGTTCGGCTCTGAAGGGTCCGGTGGACACAAATATACGGCGACGATGATCCCCACGCCGCTGTTCTGCTCTCCAGAGTAAATACAGAGCGGTAACTCTCTTGATGAATGCTCGGTCGACATAAAAACAATGGCCGCCAACGGATTTCGATTTTGACGCGCGTAAATTTCGCTTCAAACTTTTGTTTTTACGCGCGCTAGTTTCGCTCTTGACACGCGAATTAACACAAAGTGGTCAAGCGTCAAACTAGATGCGTCAGGCGCGAATTTTGCGCGATTAGCGTCCGGTGTGAACGTAGCATTAGTATGTGTACGGAGTCGTTGTTTTATGTGACCACACTTTGGAGTTCTGTGTTCCTTGCAGGTTTTCTTGTTTTGTTTGTTTATTTTGTATTTGGATTGATAACATGGACTTTGAACCTTGCCTGGATGACTACGAGATGGATTTCCCTTAATTAAAATTTACTGCAACTGGATTTTCTGTTTCCCTGTGTGTGTACGTGACAGAACGACTCCGTCACACCTAAATCCAGCACTAATTTTCTTTTCTTTCTTTTTTTTTTGTCGGAAGATCTCGTCCCCAGTTACCATGTGGATTCCACGTAGCGAGCATTCTCCCACTGAGAGGGAGAATGGCATCTCGTTACTGGAATATTTTTCGAGATGTGCACGAAGGCATGAGGAGATCAGGGCAGCTGAGGCGTCACCACTGGTCTCATCGAGCGCTGGGACTTCGTCGATGGTTTCGTCCATTTCTGTGGCGGCAGAAATCCGTCTGAAAAGACAAAGGAGGAGAAGGAGACCTGTATCTGCCCAGTCAGAGAATGTTCACGTCCCGTTTGCCCAGCGAGAGACTGCTCACGTCCCGCCTGCCCAGCGAGAGACTGCTCACGTCCCGCCTGCCCAGTGAGAGACTGCTCACGTCCCGTCTGCCCAGCGAGAGACTGCTTACGTCCCATCTGCCCAGCGAGCGATTGCTCACGTCCCGTCTGCCCAGCGAGAGACTGCTCACGTCCCGTCTGCCTTCCTGAGCTGGGACTATATGGAGCGGCTGGCTCGGATATTGGAGAGGCCGGTGTCCGGTGTTTCGGAGCTGAACCCAGCGCCTGTTCCAGAGCCGGAGGCAGAATCAGTGCCCGTTCCAGAGCCGGAGACAGAGCCAATGCCCGTTCCAGAGCCGGAGGCAGAGCCAATGCCCGTTCCAGAGCCGGAGGCAGAGCCAGTGCCTGTTCCTAAACCGGAGCTCATGTCGGTTCCGGACCCAGTGTTTGTGTCGGTGTTTGTGTCTGTCCTTGTGACTGTTTCTGTTTTAGTGTCTGTTCCTGAGCTGGTGTCTGTTCTTAAGCCTATGCCTGTTCCAGAGCCGGAGGCAGAACCAGTGCCTGTTCCAGAGCCGGAGGCAGAGCCAGTGCCTGTTCCAGAGCCGGAGGCAGAGCCAGTGCCTGTTCCAGAGCCGGAGGCAGAGCCAGTGCCTGTTCCAGATCTGGAGGCAGAGCCAGTGCCTGTTCCTGAGCCGGAGGCAGAGCCAGTGCCTGTTCCAGAGCTGGAGCTCATGTTGGTTCCGGACCCAGTGTTTGTGTCTGTGTTTATGACTGTTTCTGTTCTAGTGTCTCTTCCCAAGCCGGTGTCTGGTCCTGAGAGGGCTTCACCACCCTGGCCGCCCGAGGGGTCTGCACTGCCCTGGCCACCCAAAAGGTCTACTCCGCCCTGGCCACCCAAGAGATCTTCACCGCCCTGGCCACCTGAAAGATCTGCTCCGTGCTGGCCACCCGAAGGGTCTTTACCGCCCTGGCCACCTAAAATGACTTCACTGCCCTGGCCACCCGAGGGGTATTCACCGTTCTGGCCACCCGAGGGGTATTCACCGTTCTGGCCACCCGAAAGGTCTTCACCGCCCTGGCCACCCGAAAGGTCTGATCCGCCCTGGCCGCCCGAGGGGTCTTGACTGCCTTGGCCACCCGAAGGGTCTTCACTGCCCTGGCAGCCCGAGGGGTCTTCACCGCCCTGGCCGGCCGAGGGGTCTGCATCGCCCTGGCTGCCCGATGGACTCTGTGTCTCGCTCTGGCCGCCCGTTGGACTCTGTGTCTCGCCCTGGTCCCCGGTTAAGCCCTCACCCCTTGTTCCTGTCTCCCTTCACGGACCTGGCCCACCATCCCTCCCCCTGATCCTCCATCCCTCCCCCTGATCCTCCACCATTCCACCTCCCTCCTGAACTCGTGTGTCATGTTTTTTAATGTTGTCGTGGAGCGTCTGTTAGCCGCTCCGTAGAGGGGGGTTATGTCACAGTGTCTGGATGTGTTCCCTTGTTTGTCCACTAGATATCCTCCTTCCCCACTGTGTCATTCACTATCTGGAACTGCATTTCCCATCATCCTGTTCTGTCACTTACTGATCATTGCACTCAGCTGTTCCCCATAATCATTGTTCCCAGCTGTTCTGTGTTAGTCTTGTTAGATGTGTATATATTCCCTGTCTGTGTTAGTATGTGTACGGACATGAGGATTAACTTTTAAGCCACAACAACAGGATTCACCCACGACAGAACATTTATGTTTCCAAGAGACATTACCGGCTGTCGTTGAAACAATGGAGGATGACGTGTGTACAGATCACCGAGGGCGGGGTCGAGGCCACAACCACACTGTCAATCAAACCCCTTTCTCAATTCTACGTCACAAAGAGCTGAATCTTAGAACAGCTCGTTCTGAGACAGTGCATATGATTTATTGAGATTGTAAAAAAAACACTGGGTGGATTTTTATCATTCTAGGGTGGTTTTGCTCACACACTGCCAACACACATTTATGTTCAAACACCATGTAAAAGTGCCCTTTAAGTAATTTCAAATACATATACTGTACTGTAGGCTAATGTGATAACGCGTCGTAGGTCAGATAACGTCCACATGGCAAATGTCCGGTTCGCATTCATACTCAAGTTACTCAACGTCAACGAGATTTGGTTATAAAGTACCTACTCTTTTAGGCCTTGTTGAGTAAGTACTTATTGAAATTAAGTACCTCATGAGTGTCACGAAGCAGGTTGAAACATAGAAGGCAGCAGGATACAAATGCAGCAGCATTAGTACTTTTATTCAATAAACTAAAGCTTAAGCAGAACTCAAAACCTCAGACACAGAGAACAACATCAACAACCCACAAACACTGTAACAAGACACAGGGTTTAAATACAGAGACTAACAAGCTAAATAAGAGAATAAGGGGCGTGGTAAACATGAACACAAACGAGGAGCGGGAAAACAGGGAACAGGACTGAACCAAATGCACAAAGACAGGGGGAACACAGATAGACATCATTACAATGAGTAGGCTATGCAGTTGCAGGCTATGCAGGGGGCGGTAAAGCGGAGGCAGTCTGGGGGAGGGACGGCGGGCCAGGCCTGTGTAGGGGAACGGGACCAGGAGGTAGCAAAGGCGGGCCTGGGCCGCAGAGCGTGGCCAGAGCAGGACGAGGCGAAGGCCAGGGCGGAGCTGTCGGATCCCTCGGGCGTCGCCAGGGCAGAGCTGTCAGACCCCTCAGGCGTCGCCAGGGCGGTCACGGCAGGGACATAGGCCCCCCCCAAAAAAAAATATTTGGGGTAAATCCCCGGATTAGGGGCAGGCGGAGATGCGACGAGGCTCTGGAAGCTCTGCTGAGACGCGACGAGGCGCTGGAAGCTCTGCTGAGCCGCGACGAGGCTCGGGAAGCTCTGCTGAGCCGCGACGAGGCTCGGGAAGCGCTGCTGAGCCGCGACGAGGCTCGGGAAGCGCTGCTGAGACGCGACGAGGCTCGGGAAGCGCTGCTGAGATGCGACGAGGCTCGGGAAGCTGGAACCCTGGAAGAGGTAACCCTGGAATGACGGTCTTCTTGGCCCTCCGCACTGACATCAGCGGCAGCTGTGCCATGGTGGACATCAGTCCTGGACACCCATAGACCGATGCCATGGCTAGCTTGATGGTTGAAGTGATGAACAGATTCTCAGGCAGTGCGGTTGTGGTAACATTCTCCTCCACCTTCCCTACAGTGAAGTGGGATCCACAAAACTCCAGGATAAAGTCAATATACTGTGCTAAGGTCCAGCTGGGGTCTTCCTCCGGTAAATTTGAGCTAATGTCCTGGTCTAGTCCGCTCCAGAAACAGTCCTTTAGCATAACCTCATCACCAAGAACAAGGTGAGAAACTCCTCCACATAATCCTCAATGGTGTGATTGAATTGATAAATAGAACACAACACTGTTTACTCAATGGGCGCTGGATGGTACCTTTTAGATCCATATTGGTCAGTTGTGCTGCTGGATTCATTTTAGTGGTGGGTTCTTCTGTCACGAAGCAGGTTGAAACATAGAAGGCATGCAGCAGTAGTACTTTTATTCAATAAACTAAAGATTAAGCAGAACTCAAAACCAAAACCACAAACACTGTAACAAGACAGGGTTTAAATACAGAGACTAACAAGCTAAATGAAATAACAAGGGGCGTGGACATGAACACAAACGAGGAGCGGGAAAACGGAACAGGACTGAACCAAATGCATAAAGACGGGGGAACACAGATAGACATCATTACAATGAGTAGGCTATGCGGTTTCGGACGCAGCACTGTTTATTGCACATTAATCTGACAATACATATGACACACCCATTTTCTTATGCGCACGCAGAGACTTTATGGCTGGTGCCAGCCTATGGGGCCACACAGAAGTTAAAGTCCAAAGAAAACGAAAGAGAGATCGTCGTGAGGAAGAAAATTTCACTGTCTAACAGCTAACTTAAGTTACAATAGACGATAATCAAAGAACAACGTATTAGGCTACAAAACACCTGTTTATCTGTAGATCGATTTTGGCATCGATTTGGGATCGTGTTAAGGGACAAGCGCGTGCAATATTTTTTTTCAGAGCTTATCCAACACCTGTATTCATAGAATGCTCAAGCTTGCGTATCTGCTGTCATGCTTTACAGTTGTCAATGCAGGTAAGTTAATTTAGTGCATATCACCTTATTTTGCAACGCGGGCTGTTTTCTGTTGATGTGTTAGAAAACTATTTGTGCTACAAACAAGTGTGTTTATTATAATTACGACAATATAAGAACAAGTTTGCAATATCAAACCGCCAAACGGGATGTTGTAGCCCACAGCTATAAAATAACTGAAAGTGAAAGTATTTCACCTTGAATAACTTTAATAAAACAAAATACACATTCTATAACACAGATGTACAAAATGAAATGTAATCAGATATTGGATTTGACTCAAAAAGCAATGATTCAGAATTCCTCCCAATAATCCACCTTGACTTTCAATAGATGGAAAATGTTGGAAAAATAAATAGATTCAGTCGAACAAAGTTCATGAATAAACCAACTCAGTTAATCAAAGTTTGTGAATCAAAGGATTCAGTTTAAAGTGAACACTTAGCTTTTCATTAGGCTAACTAGTTCAGCACGGACTGTGAGTAGCCTACTCAACTCAACTCATATCAAATCAAATAATTTCTGAAATTTTCTCTCTCTGACAAGTCGACACCAGCCTGAGGCATTCAAAGTTTCCAAGTAGCCTACACTCAATCACAGTTCCAGTTCGATAATGATTTAGTGAAAGGAGTTTCTGGAGAAATGCTCCGTGTGCTTGCCTTGGCCTCGTCTGACCTGTTCTCATCTGATTCGCTCATCTGTTCATGCTGACTGACTGCAGCGCCGACGCAAACTGTGGGCGGGTCTAATGACTATGCTGCTACTGTTGGCTCTCAGGGGTGTCAGTCACTGCAGCACAATCAGTGATAGGATGAATTACATTTCTTTGTAGAACACTTTAATTCTTTCTTTTTCTTAACATTTTCCAACTCTCAAGTCTTTACCTGGTGCCCTGGGATACTCGGGTAACTGCATTTCTAAAGCAATGGTTCTAGCTTAGATTATTGCCCAGTGGTTTGGTCGAGTGCATAAAAACAAAAAATGTAAGAATAAGAATGTAGCCTACTGGTGAAAGATTGTCTCTGCTTTGTTTTATAGAATTATTTCTGTCTCATTCCTAATTTCCTGTACTCTCAATTTTTGTATAGTAGCGCTACTCATGTTTTAACACCAGGCATGCATAAATAAGATGTTTTTTTTTTTTTTTAATTTCCTGTTTCGAAAACCACTACAAAACATTGGACCGTAATGTATAGAAGAATGAAACTATGGAAGGATTTACCATTGATATTACACATTTTTTAACAAAGAAAATTTATTTAAAAAAATATTTTAAGGTACATTTATAGCACTATATGGTAAATTGTTGATTTTGATATTTGGAATGAATGATAGGTTCATTGATCTAACTTTTTATTGTTTTTTATTAAATGTAGTTTTTGTATTTGATTGTTGGGACCCCAGGAAGAGAAGGCTAATGGGGATCCAAATAAACAAATAAAATTAGAACATTGAAAAGAACATTTACAAGCAATACAGGCAATTTACTTAGGATATATATATATATATATATATATTTAAATATATATTAAATTTTTTTAATTTTACATTTGACAGTTATAGCGTCTTGCCTGATCTGCACCACTTTTTTTGTAGTCCTCAAAGTGTGCCCATATATATGTAAAATTTGTAAATATCTCATTTCGTTTTGAAGTTTAGAAACTTATTTATGAAATCCATGGGTGACATTGATTGGATTTTTTTTCAGTTCCTATCATAATTTTGACATTTGGCCATCATTGTTTGTCAATTTGCCTGTTTTCAAATTGCCTGTTTTTTTTTTTTTCTCTCGATCGAACTAACGCCTTTGAAGATAACTTAACGCCTTTGATTTTTTAAAGTTTTAAAGCTCTAAATGATACCGTTACAAAAACCATAAGGCAAAACCTGGCATTTTTGGTATCATTGGACTCGGCAAGGATTCAGGAGGAGAAGGAGGTCACTCCCGTCCCGTGAAAAAACGCTGGGTTGAAAATTCTCAGGCACCTTCAGGGCATTGTGCCGATGACGTATACTGAGTTTTTTGAGATACGCCAATGTTCTCATAGACTATCAAGGTACCCTGGATAAACAGACTGCATGCCAATTTTTATTCGACTAATGGTTGGGTGCGGTGGTAGCCATTTTCATGACTTTTTTCCATATTATAGCGCCACCAAGTGGCCAATAATCGCGTCTCAATTTTGGCGAAAATATCTCATTCCATTCACAAGTTATAACCTTTTTATTAAAAGTGGCTCTGGTGCCATCAAATATTTTGGTTCCCCTTAGCAACTGACCATTGAAATGTTTTTTTTTTATGATTATTGACAGTCAGACTCCAAAGAATATTTCTGCAGTGGTTTGGTTCCGACCGGGCCAAAAACCTAGGACTAGTTTGGAAAAGTAGGTTTTACGAAAAACACAAAATACCCTAAAATGTACCCAGGGTGACGAGCCAATCCGAGGCATGCATTTTGTCCGACTCGAGCCAAGGATTCCAACGATGTGAGACACTTGAGCCTATGCCCAACGGTTGGGGAGTTATGAGCCATTTCGTACTTTTGCCCGCTGTAGCGCCCCCGTGAGGCCGATCGGGGCGTTGCTTGGTGATTCTGTTGGCGGTGTGAGTACTACCAGCCCCCAAAGTTTCAAGTCTCAAGGACTTACAGTTTGTCCTGCACGATCAGTTTTACATGGAGAATATTGCATGATGGGAAAATTAACAAAAACAATAGGGTTTCAGCACTTCGTGCTTAAACCCCTAATAAAAAGGGACTAAAAAGGCCTATAAAAAAAAAACCTTAGGGACTACGCACTTGACGCTTGCGCTGCTGCGTTCCAAAATCTTTATCACGCCTTTTAACATGTGCCTTGGAGAGGAGAAAGTCACTTTTTTGCCTTTTTAGCTCATTTATCATGGAAATGTGGTGTTTTATTTTTTACCTTTTCAACTGCGCCACCTCCACCGGTGGCCCTATCTCCGTAAAACTTTGAATGCTTCCTGAAAAATAATATGGCGCACATGCTCAGCTAATTTGGTGAAGTTTTGAGCAGAGCAGACCATTTTTTCAGTCATTTAAATGTAATTTTGCATAGGATATTATGGAGCATTTCCCCCCTTTATTACAGTTAAAGGGCCACCAGTGGCCCGACGTCCATAAAAGATTCCAGGCCTCTATAGGGTCAGGTGAAACATGTGCATGTCCAGTTTTGTGAGGTTTTATGCAAATCGGGCAGGTAGAGGGCCGCTTTCAGCCATTTCATGGGATTTGCCATAGAAATACATCATTTTGGCACCTTTTTAACAGTTATAGCGCCAACAAGTGGGCAGTCGCCCCGTCCTTTTTCATGCTACCACACAATGAGCTCTCACACAGGTGCGTTGAGTTTGGTGCAAATATCTTGTTCCGTTGATGAGTTATAGGAAATTTAGTAAAAGGGGCTCCTCCCACTTGGGACGTTTTCCCTTAGGGACCACAAACCCAAATTTCAACGTTTTTTATTATTATTATTGACATTCGGACTCCATAGAATCTTGCCGCATTGGTTTGGTTGCTGCCGGGCCAAAAACACAAAATACCCTAAAATGCACCCAGGGTGCCGAGCCAATCCGAGGCATGCATCTTGTCCGGCTGGAGCCAAGGATTCCAACGAAGTAAGACACTTGAGCCTACGCCCAACGGTTGGGGAGTTATGAGCCATTTCGTACTTTTGCCCGCTGTAGCACCCCCGTGAGGCCGATCGGGCCGTTGCTTGGTGATGATGTAGGCGCTGTGAGTACTACCTCTCGGTGTGAGGACTTACGGTTCGTCCTGCACGATCAGTTTTATATGGAGAATGTTGCATGAAGGGAAAATTAACAAAAACAATATAGGGTTTCAGCCAGTGTTGTGCACTCGAGACTCGGTCTCGAGTCCATATTTTAATGGACTCGGTCTTGTCATGGACTCGTGTGTATTTTGACTCGGAATTGACTCGTACTCGAACATATTGGGAGTCCACTCGAGTCCCATTCAAATTATGTCATGATTATTACTGTATGTTAATATTTCTTTAAATTGTTGTTTGATTGAAACGTCCAATGATTGCTGACTTTCTTGTGCGCAACTGCGCATGACTTGAGAGACTATAGGGTTCGCGGCACGCAAATGCAGCAAGAAGACCCAGGTCAGATGTGATGTGGAGCCTCTAGCTCAACTATGTATTGAAAATGTCTGCCTTATCATCCCTAATTCAGTTTGCATATAAGAGCCACACAGATTTCGTGTGCAGTAATGTTCTGTGAAAGAGCACTTACTGATTGTAAAAATTGTAAGTCATATAATAAAACTATGTGGCCTTTTTACCATTAAAGTGTACATGATTCCATGGTATATTTGGTTTACTGTTTGAGTATGGTGCCAATTTTATTGTTACTACCAAATATTTTATATATTTTTGAAGATATCTTTAAGTCTGATTTGAGACCCAACCTTAGGTTATCTAACCTCTCTCTGGTCTCGGTCTCGACTTGTACTCGACTGTCTTTGGTCTTGGTCTCGACTCGACTCTCTTTGGTCTCGGTCTCGACTCGGACTCGAACCTCTATGGTCTCGGTCTCGACTTGGTCTCGAGTGAGCTGGTCTCGACTACAACACTGGTTTCAGCACTTTGTGCTTGAGCCCCTAAAAGGAATAATTATAAAGATATATAGTATAAAGAGAGTATAAGTATACAGATGTTGTAAAAAATAGTTGTTCATATTTATAAACGTAATACATGACCTAGAATATTTATTTAGCAAAATCTTGTCCTTTAAATTTCGCGTAATATTTATTAATTAAAAAATGTTGCTGCTCCAATTAAGCTCAGTGTGATCCCTTTATGCTCATCTACATTGAACATCTATGTAAATACCTAATAAACAGACTTTAAATATAAAATGATGATAGTCACTTTAAGTTAATCTTTATAAGATAATTAATAACTTATTTTTTTCACAGCCTTGAGATGACAAAATATAGACAGAACTATAGTTTATTCTGAACTTCTTACTTCAGAGCTTTTACACATGCACACGGGAGCATTTGAAAGGGCTTCTATCAGCGGATCAGTTTATTAGTGGATATATTAGGGATCATCTTATCCGCCTGCTTTTAAACACTGATAAGAAAAGCGCTTGGTGAAGACATGTTTTTGAAGCGTTGTTCTTTGTAGCCAATCACAGACATAGCTATATTGAGCGTGTGAATGCATTGGCCAATCAGAGGTGTTTAAAGGAATAGTTCAGTTAAAATTACCCCATGATTTACTCACCCTCGCCATAGGTGTATATGACTTTCTTCTTTCAGGCGATAATCGGAGTTATAAACACCCTGACACTTCCGAGCTTTATAATGGCAGTGAATTGCAACCATCAATTTGTAGCTCAAAAAAGTGCATCCATCCATCGTAAAGGTGCATCTATTAATCATAAAAGTGCTCCACGTTGCTCCTGGGGGTTAATAAAGGCCTTCTGAAGCAAAGCCATGAGTTTGTGTATAAAAAATACTTGTATTTCAAAGTTTATGAAGTAAAGTATACGGCCAAACTCGCATACAGATTCAACTTAAGTCTAAAGCCCAACTTATGCAAGTAATGTGACGCACTGCTGATATTTACACTACGCCACCATGTCACACTTCGCTACTTCTGACATCAACACCAGTTGCGTAAATTGCGCTTTAGACGCAAGTGGAGTACGATATCTGATCTTTTCGAATCTGTGCTTGATTTTAGAGCTCAGCTCTTTTTTTGTTGTTGTTGTGATTGACTCGGTACCTTCAAATAAAACATGTTTTCAACTATTCTTTAAAAAGGGTTGTTTAAAATAAACACAAATATTTAATAAAACGTGTCGTGTAGTGAGCTTATAGGCAACAGGGGTGTGCTTAAAGGGTAAAAAAAATTACCCATTAAGCACAGTCAAATATTTAAAGATGTACATATTAATTGTAATACTTTTGTCATTTAAATTTTATTCATTATTTGTCATTTTATACTTTTGGCATCCTTCCTTTTTTTAGCCTCAACTTTCAGAATGTTGTCTCTCGGCCAATGATGGTATTTTCAACCAAATTCGTGACAGGAGGCCCTGCACGTACTAATAATGTACTAATAATTCTCGTCCTTGTGTTTCCACAGGTTCTCATTCACTGATGGCTTTTGCAACATATATAGTTGGACGGGCACCATTTCCTGAGTTCAGTGTTGTGGTGATGTTGGATGATATGCAAATAGGATATTATGACTCAAACACATCTAAATTTGTCTATCGCTCTCACAGTGATCCAAAATACTATAATGACGACCAAAAGGATGCTGCAGTTATATTTCAGGACACGTATGATGATATGAAAATGAAGGGTTCTTATGCTAAGAAAAACTTCAATCTCACAGAAGGTGAGAACTACATCATCAACAATAACACATACATCATTTAATAACAGATGTACTGTAGCAAGAGGTGCAAAAAGTAAAAGACCAGCAATATGTTTATTCCACCCATGAACTGATTTCACTAATTAGTTCTAGCCGATCTCCTGACTGAAAACTGTGCTAATTAGCAAATCCAGGTGATTGGAACAAAATATTGAAGAGGACTTTTACTTTTTGGACCTGGACTTTACACCAAGTCCAAAATATTAATTTTCAGTTTCCTACATTTTATATTGTGTCAGAGTGAGGACTAATTAAAAAAAACATTTTTCTTTTATTTGAAGGTGTACATGTGTACCAGAGACTTGTTGGATGTGAATTGTTGAATAATGGTAAACCAGGCCCATTGCATTTCTGGGGTGCTTTTGATGGACAATATATGGAGGAGTTCACCTATGACCTGAACAATATCCATGTGGAAAAGCCATGGATTACTTCATGGGACCAATTAAAACGGCTTAATTTAAAGCTTCTATATGAAAATATTTATCATCCGATTTGCATTAAAGTTTTGCTAAGGTACCTGCATTTGGAAAAGAACCATGTGATGAGAAAAGGTGAGAGAATCAACCTGATTAACTTCAGTATAATTAAGATAAAAAAGTATAAATGTATAATCAACAAATATGACCCAGACAGTAGTACTGACAGAAAATGCGTGGAACATCAGAACCATAAATAAATAACTGATGCAACAGTTTAACAAAAGTACTACTTCTCTTTCTTCTCTGTAGTGAAACCCAGAGTCCGACTCATGAGGAAGAAATTCTTAGACTCTCAAGGGCTTCAGATCAGCTGTCTGGCCACTGGTTTTTACCCCCGTCACATTAACCTGACCCTGTTTAGAGACGATCAGCCTGTGGATGATGATCAGATCACAGGAGGAGAGATTCTGCCCAATGGAGACGGAACTTACCAGATGAGGAAGAATTTAGTGATCAGCAAAGAAGAACTACGTGAAGGACATAACTACAACTGTACAATGAGGCACCTCAATCTGGACAACAAACTGAACATCATATTCGGTAAATAAAAATGTCCAAACCAGCAAGCAAGCAAACAAACTAAATGCCATTTTTGATGTGAACAACTACACAAATTTAATAAAAGTACAAACTATTAAAGTACATTTGTTTAGCTTTCGTATTTCTATATCTTACTATATGTTCTTTTATTTAAATTTACCTCAATTTCAGATACAGATAAATATGACCAAGGAGGATCCTTCAGTCTGTCTCTAGTCAGTTTGCTCCTATTTATGTTGGCTGTTCTCATCATAACTCTATTCAAATGGATGAAGAGATCTGCTGCTGGTAAATGTTCTATAGTCCAGTTCATTATACATTTGATAATATTAATAATAATAATTCATTACATTTATATAGCACCTTTCTTGACACTTAAAGCGCTTTACATAGAGGGGGCAATCTCCTTAACCACCACCAATGTGGTTCAATTGGTTCACCATCAATTGCTCAATTAGAAAATGAGACCAAACATCATGTTCGTTTAGAAGAGGCACTTTCAATGTTTACCGTTTACAGTTTTGTGGTTGTGACTTTTTATTCTGCTTTATTTATATTATTCAGGACGAGGCTCTGAGAAGTCACAGAATGAATACTCCCTTACTTCATGTGAGTATACTCTATTTTAAATTAAGTCCGCAATATGTTCACTTTAATTTTAATTTTGGAAAATGAAATGGAACCAAAGCAATGTTTTATTGATTTCAGCCTCCACGCATGATGAAAATTGACCCTATGTAATCAAACGGAGGGGTGCAGTGTTTTAATGGAGTAAACTTAGTCAATTTCTTAAGAATGTGTTAAATATATCAATTAAGAATTAAGTAATTTTTGTGGTTCTTGAAACAGATCAGTTTAATTCTCAATTTTTTCTTTTTTTTAATATTTTGATATATATTTCAGAAATAGATTAAGTGTATTATAAATAAATATTTGGTTAGTCAAAATACTAGATTCTTTTAGTGAAAAAAAATAATAAGTATAACTGTAAATTTTAGACAAAATAAACTCTTTGATTTGTAGTCAATTATTTTGGTGTGTTTAACTCAAACAATCAAGTAAATTATATTCCGAGATTTTAGTAAGTTAAAGTTAATTATTCTCCATTTAAAAAAAAAACCAATTATATAATTTCACAAATATATTAAGTGTATTATAAATAAATAATTGGTTAGTCAAATACTAAACTGTTTTAGTGAAAATAAATTTAAATATAAATGTAAGTTTTAGACAAAATTAACTCAATTATTTTGGGATGTTTAACCTAAACAATCAAATAAATGATGTTCCGAGATTTATTGAATTAATAAAGTTAATTAAAACTGTAATATTTACTAAGCCACTGAATTATTTTTTAGAGTGATCATTTGTTGAGATCTGTCACTCAAGGAAATAATTCTCACTAAACCAGAAGGCATTTCTAGCTTTAGGCATTTCTCGATTACTGCTCAGTAATCTTTATGTTGATAAACACACGTGTAAATTAATTGACAGATTTTGTGAATTTGAATGAAAAAACAAAGTTCACTACTAAGATATCAATATTAAATGCATATGATACATTTGATAAACTTTAGTTCTCTGAAAAATGCTTTTAAAATGTTGACAATATTTTTTTTAAAACCATTGTCTGTTTGGAATATAATCCCTCTGTATATTTTCTCATTTAGGTAGCAAATATATATATATTTTTATTGTGCAATTATAAAATTGAAAAACATCAAATTAAACTCTCTAAATTCTATCAATAAGCACGTGCTGCTTGGATTCTCAATTAAGGATTAATTTATGCTTATTTAACAACATGTATATGCTCTCAGTTGTTTTCTTTCTTTTTTTGTTGTAATTTCTGTTGTTGTGTGAAACGTATGTTCTTATGTAAATGGAAGGTACTCTTGTACATGCTATTCGTTGATAATAAAGCATTAAAAAAATTAGCATTTGCGTGGATGTAATTTGGGTTGTTATGAAAATGATCATAAAAGATGAAACTACAAAGGAATGTAACACTCATGTTTATGATGTTTTTAAAGAATAATATCACTTTATTAGGTTTTTTTTTTCCTTGCTGGTCAAAAGGAGATTTGATTTGTTCAACCTGTTCTCACTCACAACTTAAAGGTATCTGATATTGTCACTTGTCCAAGAAGAAAAATGTTCATCATTATACAAATGCCAAAAGTGCCCATAATGTGACATATTACTCTTTTAAAGAAAAATCTTTGTCATAGACTGACGCAAAGGGCGTGGAAATTTGTGCCAGAATCCAAGGGAAGATCATTTTATCATAATGACATATTTTGGTGTAAGATTTTCAGTTTGACTGTTTATAAGCTTAAAATGAAAATCCCAAGAATTCAGAATAGCATACTAGGATTATATGCTTAAAGGAGTAGTTCACTTTTAAAAAAACACTTTTGCTGATAATTTACTCACCCCCATGTCATCCAAGATGTCCACGTCTTTCTTTCGTCAGTCAAAAAGAAATTAAGGTTTTTGATGAAAACATTCCAGGATTCTCTCCATATAATGGACTTAATTGGGAACCAAACGGTTCAAATGAAAGTTTCATTGCAGCTTCAAAGGGCTTTAAATGACACCAGACGATGAATAATGGTCTTATCTAGGACCCTTCGAGTCATGACTTGAAAAAAAGATTTGCTCATTTTGATGAACGAGTTAGGAGAGACACGAACGCTCATCACAGAACAGAGCAAGGTGAGCATTTGTGCTTATAAAACTTAAACTTTATTTATTTTTTAAATGACCGATCGTTTTTTCTAGTGGGTGCAGTTCATTTATGTATATCCATGTGAGGATAGAAAAATAAAGTAAACTGTGATGCATTATACCCCAAAATTCTCATAAATTGTAACACCAGTAAAATTTATTATTACACTTTGACCTGACCATGTTTTGCTTAACTGTTTTTTCTTTAATTGCTAATGCATCCTTTTTACACCACAGACTGAACAAAATTACATTTCATTGTTGGTTGTCTAATGCCTAATGGCATTATCTTGTATACTTAAATTTAACCGCTGACAGCTTCACAACCTAATTCATTTGTGAGACAGTCTAACAGAAGGATGGCCAAAACCAGTGAAATATCAACTGTTCCTGTTATATTTCATTACCATTTTATTATCATTTTCTAAATAGTGAATAAACTGATGTGAGAAATGTTGAAGTCTGAATACATTCTGGTTTGACTGTATATTGCTGGACAGACAGAGTTTCATGAGTTCACTGTTGTGCTGCAGATGATGTATTATGACTCAATATCATGGAAAGCTGTCCACCGCATGCAGTCAAAATAATTCAAATGATGCTGGTGATGTATTCAGTCAGATTGACATCATAACAGACCAATTTATTTTAAGGACCTCCAAAATTGCACAGGCAAGTCCAAACCTAAATTTTGATATACCTTTCATTTAAAATAATGTAATCTGCCTCATTTTGTTTGATGCCTAATTCTCTTTCCTTTTGTTTCTCTCTTCTTGCGGATTCTTGTGGTGCACACTGCAGTGCCCTGGTCAAGTTGTGAGCAAAACACTCAAACTGTCTAAAATCGCTGCTAAACAGTGCAATGAATGCTGCAAGTGAATTCAATACCTGTCTGTACTTAAAGGGATAGTTCACTTTGAATTTAATTTTTGATATGTTTTAGCTTACCTCAAGGGGATCCAAGATGTAGGTGTCTTTGTTTCCACAGTATTTTCAATTTTGACATTTTTCAGTCAAACCGTTGTTGTCTATCAGTCATACACTGGAGGCTAAGGGGGTCCACCAAAAAGCATGCACAGAGAAGTCAAAATTAAACATGATTTAATGACTCTTAAATGTAAGTACACATTGATGGCCTAAGACACGAAACGAGCGGTTTGTGTGAGAAAACGAACAGTATTTATATCGTTTTACCTCGTGTAATCATAGCCATGACAAAATGATCTGACGGCACGGGCGCTTCAGTCTGCGCATGCGCTGGAAGTGATTGCTTGCGCGCCTACGTCACTCTTTGTTTATACAGAGATTTCGGAAGTTTTAGCTTTCACTAAACATATTTAGATGTACGGGAAACCGCAATGGAAGATGATTTAAATATAAGTAAGTATAAATAAAAAAGTTAGTAAAAGGTAAAACTTCCGAAATCTCCGTGTAAATATTGAGTGACGTCACACGCAAGCGATCACTTCCGGCGTAACATTGAACTGATTCAGTTCGGTTCAGTTGGACATTGCACAACTGATTCAGATCACTTGGATTACACGAGGTAAAACGATATAAATACTGTTCGTTTTCTCACAAAAACCGCTCGTTTCGTGTCTTAGGCCATCAATGTGTACTTACATTTAAGAGTCATTAAATCATGTTTAATTTTGACTTCTCTGTGCATGCGTTTTGGTAGACTACCTTAGCCTCCAGTGTAGACACCTACATCTTGGATCCCCTTGAGGTAAGCTAAAACATATTAAAAATTAATTTCAAAGTGAACTATCCCTTTAAGTGTTGTAGACCTAATACGTGTCACATTTGGACATAAATGAAACATTTTAACACAAACTGAAACAGGCTTCTATAAAACATTTTACTCCGCATTAAACTTAAAAATATAGGCTTATATAAAAATTACCCTATTATTAAACTTACCAGCAGAAAAGTCAATTTTATTTACTTTTATCAAAAGTCTCCGTGCCTATAATGTGTTTTGAAATCAAGGCATACATTGTTTTGTTTTTTGTTTTTATCCAATTTTTCAAATAAGATAAAACTGTGTAAAAGATGGCTTAGTTTTGCAATGCCCATTGTGGGTCACTACACTAAGGATTGTGGCAGGCAACTCCAATCCAATGACTGCTGCGGTCTGCAAAAGTGAAAGTAAAAAGTTACAAACGAAAGAGCAGATAAAACAGGCAATAACATGTCGTATTTAAGAGAAAGAACACTCCACTGTCTTCCCTGCTGAGAATGCGCCAAATGAACTTTAAGGGGTTGCTTTTGTAGCCTAACAATGGATGATAAGATCAAATTGTGGAAGTACACAACTTCTGTTTTGAATTAATTGAGTGAATTCTCATGCTTCTGTATTTGTCATTCTTGACGGTCAGGTTTCCTGTACTTTTTATTTTATTTAAAATGACAATTTGACCCTGTTGAAACAACAAAGGCCAGCAAAAGTCCAGTTTTATTTTATTTAAAATGATATTAAGATCAAATTGTGGAAGTACACAACTTCTGTTTTGAATTAATTGAGTGAATTCTCATGCTTCTGTATTTGTCATTGTTGACGGTCATCAATGCATTTAAATGGATTTACAGGTTTCCTATACTTTTTTATTTTATTTAAAATGTCAATTTGACCCTGTTGAAACAACAAAGGCCAGCAAAAGTCCAGGCACTGCCATCAGAAATGAGCAACTGTAAAAATGTACTCAATTAATTTATAAATTAAAAATATATATTGTTTGCACGGTCCAAAAGTTGAAATAACTTTTTTTTATTTCCTTTTCTCAGAAAATGTACAATGTTTAACATACATTTCTCTGATTATTTTGTTATACTGGTGTTTTGCGTATTCTTTGTCACTTATTTTATTCACTTACACTTACACCTATTGTTGTTCCTAAGCTGTAAAGTCTGTCAATAATGATTGTATTGCCTTCACAAATAAAAGAATGTAAAGATACGATCAGCTATGCCAGGCAAGTGTTTCTTTTCAAGTTCTCCCTGCCTGTTTCAGACGCATTTTGTGGTTAAAATGAAAACACAAGAACAGAAAATCGACCACCTGTTTGAATAAAACAGAGTAGAATCATAAATGTTTTGTGTATTCAAACAGTTCGATCATTCTCTGTAAATGGCTATATCTGTTTCATTTTATATCTCGTCTTTCTAAGCACTTCATATGTTTTGCTTGAAGAATATAATTACTACATTTGTAAATATGCAGCCTTCAGTAAGAAGAAACATATGAACTTTTATTTTAGTTTTGGTGAAACGACGTCATAAATGCTGCGCCGCTCTCATCTGTCTCAACCAGTTTTACAGTCTATGGTCTCAGCAAAGGTTTGTGTTTCTGAACGATTATGTATTTATTTAAGGTGTTAAAATCGATTTATTTTAAGTAACACGGAATTAATCAATCACTTATTATGTTTAGTGTTGGCCCGTGTACGTTACAAGTGAAATTAATATTTGAATTACTGTTTGTGGGCTGTACCATTAGCACGAGAGTGTGGGTTGGGGAAATGATAGCCACGCCACTGGTTAAATCTACTGCATGGATTTTTAGAAATAGTTAAACACAGTGGACGGAAAAACATTCCTGACACTGAGAATGCGTTTACACTTTGCATTAACATGCGATCACCGATCATCATCTGTTTGATCGGATCATTAAGTTAGCCAACCAGGACATGTTGCGTTTATATTTGTTTACATTATAAGTTTTTTTTTGTTAATAATTGCAATTATAAAATTTAGATCCCAAAATGAAAATACTGTCATACTAACATCTCATGTCGCTTCAAATATGAATGTTTTTTTCTTCTGTGGAACATAAAATATATTTTAGATTAGTATTAAGTTTGGTCTGAAAATTTTTCCATATTGACCCTGTTAGTTTGTCTCGTAAATGGTTTATCAATGATGAGTGTATTTGTCTGTACATCAATTTCAATTTTACATCAATTGTTTTTCTCATACTTAACATGGCAAAATGTCCAAAATGCAGGAAAAACTGAGATCACGGGACATAGCAAGATGGCGTTTATTAAAGAGGAGCTTGAAGACACAAGAATTTCAGAATCACGACCATTCAGAGTGAAACATGAAGATGTTGAGAAACAAACAGGTTGGTTCTCAAATGTGAACGCTGTTATTTGTTTATTATTAAATTGACATCTAAACAAATGAATGATAATTGTGAACAATGAAATGAATAAATGCATGCAATGAAAAATCCAGTCATATCAGTGCCACAATAATAGCTGATTATAAAATATATATATAAAAAAAAGCAGAATACCCACTGTCATAATCACCATACTGAAATGCGCGGTTAAATCCAGATGTATACGTTTGTATGAGCTAAACATCAATTTTAAAGAAGTTGAACACTAGTGTTCTTATGACACCAAAATTCAACCAAAATTCACAGTTTTCAGTACCAGTTTCAGTATAGAGGCCTAGCAAAAAGTTTGTCTATTATATTTTAGACTACCATTTCATTTTAAAAACACTTGAGATGACTACACCTTAGTGGTTTAACATTTTAAAAAGAATTTAATTCTTTTAATATAGCAATAGCTTTCATGCACACCATTTTTATGAACTTTTTTATTCATTTTGTTATCCTGGCCTCCATGGAAGTTCACTGAACTTCAATGAGCCTCCTTTTGTGCTGTGGCTCCCAGGCGGAGAAGACCGTGGAACACATTTTGGATGTCTCCCTTATCTGACTTATGCATTTCTGGTTTTAAAGTTTGCATTACCTATACTGATAAGTTAATTCAGAAATGTTTGATAAGGGAATCAAACAAAATGTGTTTTGTTAGAGGTACTCGAGGGCCAAGGTTGAGACCTGCTGTTCTAAATGATCATAAAATAACTGTTGCCGGTTTATAGACTAGCTGATTTTATTGTTTTATGTACCAGAACATAATAAAAATAATCTGGTTGTTTTATCAGGTCTTAAAATTAGGTAAAACATCCTCAGATGAACAACAACAAATGACATATTACACCAAATCATTATTTATTTTATTTTTATTTATTTCAATAAATTGAAAATCCAGCTTTTAATGTTTATATGTCTGTGTGGTGTTTTCAATATGCTTTAAGACAGACCAAGGACCATATCGCTGGTGTTTCTTGCCAATCACATCAACGTGTGGGTCTCTGAGCTGGTTTGATTGTGTGGAAGTGGGGCTAATTTGCATATTCACAGAACAGTATGTACTTAATGAGGCAAGGGAGTAGAGTTACAATCAAGCTATTTTAAAGGAATAGTTAACCCAAAAATTTAAATTACCCCAATACTCTCCCTCAAGCCATCCTAAGTGTATATGATATTCTTCTTTCAGACAAAAACAATTGGAGTTATAATAATATATGTATTGGCTCTTCCAAGTTTAAAATGGCCGTTTATGTTTTTAAGTCCATCAATGTGCATCCATTTTTTTCATGGTCCATCCATGCATAGCAGCCGGCTGAGAGAGAGCGAGCGGGGTGATCCCCGTGGGGATTATCATGTCTGTGAGTGAATGTGGGCGTGGGACAGCGGACCGTCGGCCAGAGCTGACTGTAACGTTATGCGTGTTGGTTTATTTTTACAGAAACCGTGGGACATGTGGTGTGTAATGTTAGTGTTTGTGGGTACTACTGAGTCGTTGGCACGTTCACTAAGTTACATTTAATGTAACGTTAACGTTATATTTGTAGAGGTGTGAACCTACACTGGTCTCACGGTTCGGTTCAATTACGATTATCAAGTCTTCGATTCGATTCAATTCGATTATCTCGATGCATCACGATGCATTGACGATGCACTGCATCCTTTTTTTTCAATTTTGCTTCACAATTTTGTCAATAAATACAAGCAGTCTGATTGGAGCATTTTCTAATGCACGCTGTCGTTTCGCCACCCTCTGCCATTGTATTGCCGCGAGCACGCAACACGCGGTGCTGACGTCAGAAAAGCGTCAGTACATTATAACCGGTTATGGGCTATTACTGAACCGATACCGAATCGTCCTCGTCTGCATCGCAATGCACCGTAGAAACGATTAATTTTGACACCCCTAATATTTGACATGAACCGATTTTATTAGTGTGAGCCCTGCACTGAGGCGGGCTGTGTTTGTAGAAATGAACACTGGGCTGTGGGCATTTTATTACACTCATAACACCATCAGCTGTGGCCGGAATACCACAAAAATGCTACACTGCTTATATGAATTTATCTGGGTTACCTTAGAAACGGCATTTTTGTGCAGGCAAGCGTTTTGTGCAGGCAGACCGCATCGGTCGAGCACTCTTTCTCCTCCGTTAGCTCACGCCAGTGAGCGAAGCGAAAGCTGGACCAATGTGCTAATCCTAGTCCTGGCTTTTAATTTGTCACTCTCCCCTTTTCTTTTTTAGTTTCCTCTGATAAAACCGTTGCCTTCCTTGTAGCTGTTGTTCGGCATGACGAAAACATACTGACGGCAATAAAACGCGAGTTGAGCACTAACGTTAGATTCTGAGGAAGTTGTGGGTGGTGGGGGAAGTGACGTATGCCGTAAAGCGGTCGAATTTTGTAGTTGTTTTTATGCTCGGGTTCCTACCCGAAACCCAAAGTTACAAAGTGCAAGTAAAAGCGATACAGACACCTTCAGGAGACGACAGACGTGTCATTCAACCTATTGCAAGTCGATCTACCATCTCAATGGGTTTTGGTAATATATTATAAAGGTTGAAGAGTTCCACGGTGTGGCTTTAAATGAAGCCTGTAGAGTCTGAGATGTAGCTCTTTGGTGTTTTGCCATTTCTCTGAGCATTGCACAGTCTGACCTTTGGGTGAATTTACTGGGACGTCCACTCCTGGGAAGATTGGTAACTCTTGAATGTTTTCCACTTGTGAATAATCTTCCTTATTGCAGAATGATGGACTTCAAATAATTTGTATTTTAACCCTTCCCAGATTAATGGCAGCAATCACGGGCCTCGTTTACACTGCATGGTTCAAGTGACCCAAATTCGATTTTTTCCTGTCATGTGGCACAGATCGGATATGACCAGTGAACGTGTAAGCAGGAAAAAAAACGCATGGATTCCGATTTTCTCAGATCGGATTCAGGCCTCATTTATATGTGGTAATAAATCGGATATGAATCGGATACGTGCATTTGCCATGTAAGCAGACAAATCGGATATTCCCCAGTAAATGCGAGTCGTACGTCATTAAAAAGTGCGCGATTACAGGCGCGATGGAAGAAAGGACACAGTGGAGGAATGCGGAGGTTTCATGTCTTTTTTGAGTGTTTGGGGTGAAGAGTGCAGGCAAAAATGCAGGGTTGTAGAAACAAATCCGTGTTTGAAGATATTTCACGAGATATGAGGCATCGTTTTAAGTGCTCGTGGCTAGAGCCGTACTAGACCAATGTTTTAATGACTTATTGAAAAATTGTGTAAAGAAAACACTGGATAATTTTATTCACATCTGCATCCATTGAAGTTCGTGCTGTTTTGCTTAATTTCCCGGGTCAGAACGTCTGCATTTGGTAGTTTCAGCAGTGTATAGTGTAAATGCAAAAATCGGATATGGGTCACTTTTAAAAGATGATGTAAGCAGGTCGTCAAAAAAATCGGATATAGTCAGAAAATCGGATTTGGGCATCAAGACCTGCAGTGTACATGCAGCCTTTAATTCTCTATTGCTGATGTCTTTCCTTTTTGAAATTGTGTTAACACGGACCTAAATAGTCCAGACCAGCAAACAGACACCAAAACTTCTGCTTTTATAGAGGTGATCACACTTACTGATGATTAGTTAATCAAAGGCATTTAATTAGCAGCACCTGACTGCCACTTACCCTTATAATTTTCATTGGAAGCAGTAAGGGTGTACTTAGCAGTAAGGCCCTGTTTACACGAGAATGATTCCGGGTGAAAACGTAAAAATAAAAAAATTTATTGGATGTGCCTTTCGTTTACATGGCGACAGCGTTTTGGGGGCTTAAAAACGCTCCACCGTCGCATTGCCGTCTAAAGGGTAAAAATGCAAATCTGCTCATGGTGGCTCTGGTCGCGTGAGCGTTTACTTCACAGAAATGCTCCAGTACAGGAAATAACAACCAACATGTCAGATTATTTACATACGTCGGACCTTCAAGTTGCCCTAGTAGCTCTGATAAACGTACAAGAGTCTTTTCTGCAATTGTACAAAATATTCTCAGATATTGGTGGTGTTGGTGTGGCAGTGCTTCACATTGCCACCCAGCCACCTGGAGTGCATACTATATCGAATTTCACACACCTTTGCGCCACCATATGCACGCGGATTTCCCCAGATTAGACCAGATTATTTTTTATTATTGTCCTGATACAAAATTAACAGAATTAATTTGGCTGTCCTTTCTTTTTCACATGATTGTAGCTGTTTGATGTCTTTTGCTTTGTGCCATTAAACTGGGGTTAACTCTTTTTTCACCTTTCAGACCTGAAGCAGCTTAAAGACGAGAGTCCAGAACTGAATGAAATGGTGGACAAAGTACAGTATGAGAAACATGATTTCATAACTGAAGATGAAAATTGCTCGCAGACTGACAATTCCTCCTCACAAAAAAGACGTGAGGAGACTGGATCTAAAAGATCTTTTGCCTGCGAACAGTGTGGAAACTTTTTCTCTACAGCAGGAAACCTTAAAATCCATATGAGAAGTCATACTGGAGAGAAGCCTTACACATGTGATCAGTGTGGAAAGAGTTACACACGAAGCAACACCTTAAAGGATCACATGATGGTTCACACTGGAGAAAGACCTTTCGAATGTGATCAGTGTGGAAAGAGTTACACGCGAAACAAGACCTTAATGGTTCACATGAGGATTCACACTGGAGAAAGGCCTTACACATGTGATCAGTGTGGAAAGTGTTTCATACGAAAAGACAACCTTAATTTACACATGAAAATTCACACCAGAGAGAACCATTTTATATGCCATCAGTGTGGAAAGAGTTTCAAAGACATTGAACACCTTAACAGGCATGTTATAATTCACTCCGAAGAGAAGCCCTTCAAATGTCCCCAATGTGGAAAGAAGTTTAAAATTAGTAAAAACATTAAGGCACACATGAGAAGTCACAGTGAAGAGAAGCCTTTTAAGTGTCATCAATGTGAAAAGGGTTTCCTAATAAATAAGGACCTCATAAGACACATGAGAAGTCACACTGAGGAGAGACCTTTCAAGTGCCATCAATGTGGAAAGGGATTAAAACATGAAGAATCACTTGCTTACCACATGAAAATTCACACTGGAGAGAAGCCTTTCAGCTGCTCTCAGTGTGGAAAGAGTTTCATACATAAAGGACAGCTTAATGCTCACATGAGAGTTCATACAAGAGACAACAATTTTAAATGCAAGCAATGTGGGGAGTGTTTTAAAGACAAGGATCTCTTTAAAATGCATAGAAAAGCTCACTTCCAAGAGAAGCCTTTCCCCTGTCTTCAGTGTGGAAGGAGATACAATCTCATAGGACGCCTTAAGAGTCACATGAGATCTCACGAGGGGGAATAGCCTTTCACCTTTTTTCGCCATGTGGAAAGTGGTTGATGCACAACGGACACCTTAGTTTTCACATGAGAATTTATAAAAAGAGAGAACGATTTAATATGTCAACTGTAAAGAGTTTTACAGACCAAAAACAACTTAAAAGGCACTTGCATATTCACAGAGGAGAGAAGCTTTTATATTTTTCTAAACATTTGTGTTTAACAGAAGAAAGAATGAAACTCATACAGTTTCGGAACAATATGAGGATGAGTAAAGGATGACAGAATTAAAATTTAGCGAAATTATTAATTACTCACACTCATGTATTTCCAAATCAGGACTTTCATTCATATTTGAAACACATATGAGAATTGTTTTTAAATGCAATCTGAATTTTTTTAATGGACAGAAATCTCTCAAATATCATTAAAAATGAAAAATGCAATAAAGGGAAATCTATTTTTAAAAAAGGCAACAAAATCTATTCACTAATTCCTGAATTTTCTTTCTTGTACATTTAACATTTTTTAATGGTTATTTGTATGCATTTTTATGTAGCAGGGCAATGTGAAACATTTGAATAATGATTTTGGTAAAGCTTGGGTAAAAAAAATGAACCCATTATATTTTAAAAATAAAACGGAAGATCACCATGTTAAGGAGAAATGAACAACAGTTTTGCCACTTTGTCCCTTTCAAAGCATACCAGTTAATAAATTATCAGTCTATGTATATATGAAATTTCTGTGGACGGGACTTTTATTTTGGTCTGGTGTCATGACATCATAAGGCTGCACTGTACCGCTCTCCCCTGGTTCGGACTGTAAAAAAGGTTCAACAGAGGTTTGAGGTTTTTGAACGCTCGAGAATTTAAGGTATTTAAATCTTAACAAATCGTTCAGTCTTATATCGTAACTTTTATGAGGTGCCGTGTGACGCTTTACAGTTCAGTTTTCAGTTATGGATAGCCTAGTTGCCGTTGTCTCATTCAATTTCCAAGTTGTGACTTTAGAAATGATTAATGAATTATATGTTTGTGTCGAAGAACTGAACTATAAAGAGTATACATGAACTGATAGTTTGTCTCTTAAATGGCCCCAGATTGCTTACCATTTCATTTAATTTTCATTTATCAACACAATCAGCTGACAACATTTTGTTTTTAAATGCATAATTCTAGAATTCACTTTACAATTACATTTTTTTTAATTACATATATTGCTATTTGTAGACAGTCTTTTATGTACATATGGACGGTCTGTGATTTTAGGCTGTATTTTCAGAGGACTTTTATTTTGTCTGGTGTTATGACATCATAAGGCTGCGCCGCTCTCTGACTTCACAAAGGTTTGAGTTTTTTGAATGCATAAATATTTGAGGTGTTTAAATTGATAAACATCGTTCAATATACTCAAAGTTTTTACAAGTAATGTGAAATGAATGGATATTGTGCGAGTTTTCGTGCGATGCTTTACAGTTCAGTTTTCATTTAACCATTAACGTTAACACTTGCCGTTTTCCGTCACTTCAGAACTTACTATTTAATCACATTACACCCATTTTATTTGTATATAAAGCATTAACGTTACATGAACTGGTAGGTTGTTTTGTAAATTGCTATTTTAAGAGATATCTGCAAGTGCATTAATATGAATAAAGTTAGAAATTATCTTTTTTTCCCCTTCTATTTATTGTTTTCCTCATTTTTAACATGGGAAATGTCCAGACATACAGGAACAACAAACAATTGGTGAAACCTGAGAGATCCATGTGACGGTTTTCCAAGATGGCATTTATTAAAGAGGAGACTGAAGACATAAGAATTTCAAAACCATTCAGAGTGAAACATGAAGATACTAAGGAACAAAAAGGTTAGTTTTCAATTTTGAACTCAGATACTTATTTTTCATTTTTAAAATGTTGACATGTAAGCAAATAGTTTTCAAAAGTCTTGTAAATTGACAATCTGAACATATGAAGATATATTAAAGAATATGTCAAGTCATGAGTGCCACAATTAAAGCTGATTAGCTAAATATATATATATATATATATATATACATCATAGACTCCAAAACTGTGTTTGAAATCGCCCCCTATACCCTCATTTGCTATTACCTACATTACTCCACTAAAATAGTAGTCCACTTGAAAGAGTTGATGAAAATGAGTGAGTAAATTTGGACACTGAGTGTACTGGAAGGCCTGCCGATTTTGCATAGTTTGTGCTTGCTGTTTAATAAATGATGTTTTAATAACAAATGCTGCGTCCCAATTCAAATACTATCCGTCCCAAATCGTTGTATGTTGAAATGAGTGTTTCAAAGATACCCGGATGGTCTACTATTTCCGGTCAGAATCCGAAGTGTAGATCGATGCACACTCTATGGGTGGGATATTGCCCACAACCCATCGCGCGTTGGACAAGTATTCGGTTAGAACTACACACACACACACGAGTGAAAAGTGTTAAGAAACTAGATGGAGGTCGCGTGAGTCCTGCGGTTATGTAGAGAGGTTTTGTGAGTAATTATCAGTATCTAACCTGACAAATGAATTTATTCAATGTTGTCCACATTATATTGCATCTGCAGCAGCTTTGTGAATTTTTGTAAAGATATGTTTAGCCATTACCTTTTAAATGCATCATTATATTCAAGTTGCAAACACGTGGAGAGTATCTGCATGAAACACCCACGACTGACAGATGAACGTGCTCTCCGAAATGGCAGGAAATCAAATTAGATTGAATGGAGGATTTTAACTGTGACAAGATGATTGACAGGATGCACGCAGCACGCCACAGAGCTGTCCGTTAAAGATGGTGTGATAGTATGTCCTAAAGCTTGCCTACTCTTTAGCTACACACTCAAAAGTATGTACTTTTTCTTGACAAAAAGAGTACATACTTTTAGGGCGTAGCATAAGTAAGCGAATTGGGACACAGCAAAAGTTCGGGAGGAGCATGTTTAGTTAATTAACACGAGTGGAGAGCACTCAGCAATCAATGATAAGAGGTGTATAGACGTCATGCCATTTGGCGCAGCCATCTTGAGGGAATAGAAAAAGCTGGTGATAATACAGCTCGTCGCAAAATATTACTATCATCCCCGAGCTTTGCTGTGCAGTTGGATGTGATCAGATACGTGATCAAACAAAAGAAATATCTTTATACCGGAAGCTGATCTTGTATTTATTTGACATTTCTTCAAACACAGGTTGAGAAAGACAGTTTATCATACTACAGTGACAGTCAGTGTCACTGTAGTATGATAGTTACAGTGTAAAAAAGTATATAGGCATATTATTTTGTTGTTCTTGGATCAAACTAGATTCAACTAATTCATTTAAGATACACTTACATACACATGTACATACACGCGTAAGATACACATCTTGGTGGTGATTTTGTTTTGTGTTTTCCCCTATTAACTCAGTTTAAAAATGATTACAGGTAGGCCTACTATATTCATTTGGTGATAAAAATACAGTGATCAACCTTTCCGTTGATGGTTGAAAAATCCTTTCCTGCTGGAGTCCAAATCAAAGTGTTGCTGACCCATCCGAACTTGTGATACCGAGAAAGTTAGCCTGCTAAGTTTTTGTATGCTTTTAATGAAGCTCCGGTGTAGTGTGTAGCGTGATGGGAAGTGAATAAGGTAGCTGTAAATGTCACCAAACTCAATGTCAGAAAGTTTTTCTACACATTTAATGCCTGTAAAAACAATTTGTGGTGCTTGATATGGATCTATTAATTCCTAATTCCTTTTTCCTTGTAGGCCCTATAGGCTATTTCTTTTTGTGATGCGAAAAAAAAAAAAAAAAGATTCTGTTCAGTATCGATATATTTCGTGCATGCGATTATATCAATACTGTAGCGCAAAGTATTGCAATATTTAGGCTAATTATAAAAATAATTATAATACAAGTATAAATGAAGAGTTCAGATGCAAAAGCCTCTAAGTGCCATTGAAATTTTCTTCTAGAATGATAATTCTTTATCAAACTTGTATATTTAAGTTCAGTAATTTCACTTAAATGGCAATGAAGATTACCTATTAATTGTCATTTAAGTAAAATTACTGAACTTAAATATACAAGCTTGATAAAAATTACCTGTATGATAATACGCTGGACCAGCACGGATTGGAAAATAAATGGACGATTTGATTTAAGCTGTAGGCGCCATCTCCTGGCGAGACGCGGGAATTCATCCAGTACGTGACTGTCACAGTGCATAATGGGTGTGGGATTGAATGAGTGAAAGAGATTGAATGGTTTCGGACACCTACAAATGGCTGTCCTCTCAAATAGTGCCCTATTTAAGGGTATAGGCGGGCAATTTCAGACACAGCCCAAGACCTGAAATGGGTGGCAGACAAAGGAGACATATTACATGAGTCTCATTCAGCTCTTGAATCAGTATATCGTGTACTTGAATTCAGGCACTGGTAAGGATGGTAAAGGACCCTGGCTGACTATTCATTGGGACATTGATAATGCTGTTTCTGGCAACCTGACAACATCCTCATTCATTGCATCACTACTGGTATTTTTGAACAACAGCAGAACTGATATCTTTCTCACATTATTTTTTAATATCATTTAAAGTACATTATGATTAATACTTGTTGTTACATATACCTGCAACATTTCAGGTGTAAATGAATTATAAATATTAGCAAGATTATGTTCTTTAACTGTTCAGTCAACATGACATCATGACTTTTGCGTAAACATACACGCCACTTTCAAGTCAAGTGGCGTGTTGTCTAAATGTCAGAGCGAAACGAAGCAAAATGTACATCTACATCTGGGGAGCGATATTTTTTTTTTTAACTAGGATGGTAGGGGAAGACTCATAAATCGTATTAACCCCAGTGACGGGTAGGTTTAGGGATGGGGTTAAGTCATACATTTATATATACAGTAATAACGTTAAGTCAACGGCGTTCATAAACATGCTAAAAATGATTGTGCGTGTTGATGGCATGCCAAAATGGAAATACGAATTGGAGTGTCATACATGCGCCATTTCAAGAGATCAGTCTGGTTTAGTGATGATTGTTTTATGCTAAAACGGGAACATGGCTGGGAACCCCTGATATAAATTGTCATAAAATTATCACTGCTGCGGGTATCTACACTTGCTAATTTCCATTAATAGGATGACAGAATTAACCTTTAGCACATTGAATACAAATAGTTGTTTGATGCCTGTTGCTTTGGGGATAACTTGAATTTTTCTGATTTCTCCATTCAGACCTGATGCCGCTTAAAGAGGAGAGTCAAGAACTGAATGAAATAGAGGAGACACAATTGTTTGAGAAACATGATTTCATAACTGATGATAAACTTAGCTCACAGCCTGAACAGTATTTCTCACAAAAAAGAAGCAAGGGGGCAGGATCTAAAAGATCTTTCACCTGTCAAGAGTGTGGAAAGTCGTACACTACAGCACAAACCTTTAAATACCACATGCAAATTCACACTGGAGATAAGAATTTTACATGTGATCAGTGTGGAATGAGTTTCATACGTAAAATCACCCTTGATTTCCACATGAGACTTCACTCAGGAGAGAAGCATTTTATATGCCATCAGTGTGGAGAGAGTTTCACGTCTGTGAAACACCTGAACATTCACATGATAATGCACTCCAGAATGAAGCCCTATGATTGTTACCTATGTGGAAAGGTGTTCAGATTTAAAAAGGGCCTAAGGGAACACTTGAGAAGTCACACTGCGGAGAAGCCTTTCCGAAAAGAGAACGCTTTGAAATGTACTCGGTGTGAGAAGATTTTTACACAGAAGAAACTCTTTAACATACATAAAAATAGTCACCCTGAAGAGCAGCATTTCTCCTGTCCTGAATGTGATACGAGTTTCACATCTAAAGGAAACCTTAAGACTCACATGAGGATTCACACTGGAGAGAGACCTTACACCTGGGAAGATTTTCATACATGAAGACCTTAAGTATCACATGAAAATTCACAAAAGAGTGAATGATTTAAAGCCTGGGACACTTGCGGGTCGGTCGCCTGTGGTTGAGAGATCAAGCATTAACGTTTTTATTTTTATTTTATTTTAATAAAGCCACTGAACTTGGTAAAACGCAACAAATGTGTGCCACTCTTTTACTTTTTTCCAAAAAGCATATCTCTTCAACATCAATGCTAAAACATACACGTATTGAATATACAAGGTTAACAGAAATTATTCTATTATTAAATTAAATTAAGTGTTTTCCAACATTATGATGGAAATATTAAATGTGTTTGTAAGCTTAATTATCA